GGGAGGGAAAAACGGAGATTTTTGGGAATGTTGGGATTTTTGGGAATAAAAGGAGATTTTGGGGGAAATTGGGGGAATTTTCACCCACTTTGGCTCCTTTCTCTCCCTGGCGCCCCTCGGGGCCGCGGGACCCGGCCAGACCCTGCGGAAAAAAACCAAAATTATCCCAATTTTTTTCCCAAAAATCCCCTTTTTTCATAAAAACCTTTTTCCTCCCCAAATCCTCTTTTTTCCCCCATTTTCCTCCCAAAATTTCCCAATTTTTGCCCATAATTTCCCAGAGTTTTCCATTTTTTCTGGGATTTTCCCTTTTTTTTCCGGGAATTTTCCAGGATTTTCCCTTTTTTTTCAGAATTTCACAGAATTTTCCCATTTTCCCAGATTTTTTCCAAGATTTTCCCAGAATTTCCCCTTTTTTTTCTGGGATTTCCCAGATTTTCCCCATTTTTTCCCCAGATTTTTCCCCAAATTTTCCCATTTTTTCTGGATTTTCCCATTTTTTCCCATTTTTTCTGAGATTTTCCCAGAATTTTCCCATTTTTTTCTGGGATTTCCCAGATACTTCCCATTTTATTTCCCCCACATTTTTCCCATTTTTTTCCATGTTTTCCCCAGATTTTTCCCGATTTTTCCCATTTTTTCCCTGTGATTTTCCGGAATTTTCCCGTTTTTCCCCGAATTTTCCCGTTTTTTCCCATTTTTCCCGTTTTTYCCGGAATTTCAGCTCCGTACCCGTTTCCCGAGGGCTCCGGGGGGGCCGCTCTCCCCCGTCGGTCCCGGAGATCCCTGGAGAGGAAAAAAAATCAAAATTTGGAGCCCAAAATCCCCAAAATTCCCCAAAATCCCCCAAAACATCAAAAAAAAATCCCCAAATATGAAAAAATCCCCAAAATCTCCTAAAATTCCCCCAAAATCCCCAAAAAATCCAAAAAAATCCCCCAAATTCCCTCAAAATTTTAAAAAAATTCTGAAAAAATTCCCTAAAATTCCAAAAATTCTCCAAAAACTCCTAAAAAATTCCCCCAAATTCCCCAAAAATTCCAAAATATTCCCCAAAAATCCCCAAAAATTAAAAAAATCCCCAAAAATTCCCCAAATTACCGCAAAATTTCCTAAAATTCCTCAAAAATTCCCAAAAAATCCCCAAAATTCCCAAAAATTCCCCAAAATTTCCAGAAATTCCTAAAAATTCCCCAAAATTCCATAAATTCCCCCAAATTCCCCAAATATTCCCCAAAATTCCCAGAAAATTCCCAGAAAATTCCCCAAAAATTAAAAAAAATTCCCCCAAATTTCCCAAAATTTCCCAAAAATTAGAAAAAATTGCCCAAAAATTCCCAAATTTCCCCAAATTTCCCCAAAATTCCCAAATTCCGGGTCCTCACGGCCTCTCCGGGTTCTCCGTCCTCCCCTCGCTCTCCTTTGGCTCCGTCCTGACCCTGCGGAAAAAACCCAAAATTCCCAACATTTCACCCCAAAATTCCCAAAATTAAAAAAAAATTCCCGAAATATCAAAATTTCTGGGAAAAATCCCAAATTTTCGGGAATAAATCCCAATTTTTTGGGAATAAATCCCAATTTTTGAGGATAAACCCAAATTTTTTGGGAAAATCCCCGAATTTTTGGGAAAAAACCCCAAATTTTTATGGATAACCCCCGAATATTTTGGAAAAATCCCAATTTTATTTAAGAAAAAAC